TCATGATAGTAAATATGAGGAGTTGGCAGGTTTGCTGCAATATTTAGTAAATATGTACATGTCAGTGGGCAAGAGCGATGGTGAGAGAGGCAATGAAAAAGTGTGGGAGTAGAATGCTATGAGAATAGAGAGATCATGTTACTGGTGGACAGAGTGTGGGAAGAACAGGTAAGAAAATTATTGCTCGGCTGTTAAAAATATGTTGAACTGTGAGCCAAGCAAAAACTGCACGGTGCAATTGCAGGCCAACAGCAACACGTTTATGTGGAGTTCCAGACGCTGTTGGTCGAATTACCCTCCCAATTACCGCTTTCCTGCGCTCATTCTCAGTAAGCATCTAGAGAAGTCTTGATGCAGGTTATAGAGGATTTACCTTAAAATACCCAAATGACTCTCTTACTAACAAAATAAAAAGCAAAAGTGCAAGTGTCCATTTGAGCACAAAATATTGACCACAAAGAATAGAGACTTTAAAAATTTTCTAGTGTTTCTCTTACGTCTCAAAGATCACAAGTGCGTGTTGGTCTGCTTTCATTTTGTAAATTGAAATGGTTCCACATGGAAGACTTTTTTCACTGCTCGTTAACTTTTATATTGCATGCCTCACTGCAACAAGTTGTGGACAATTACTATACAGATCAAAGCTGGTGGAGTCCACTAAACAATTAAACTTTTTGAGGCTCTGTATAACTGAAACTGATCAACCAAAACATGTCTTAACTAGTCAAAGTATCAACTTTGAAGTATCTGGTTGATCAGTATACTAATGCAGGGATGGGTAGATTTTGTTCTTGTTCACATGTTGGGCACATGAACTCTAAGAAAAGGGTCATCTCACAATGACTAAAAGGTATTGTAGTCCAAGGCTTCAATACTTCCAGTTTAGCAGCTATTTGGCTTCACCATATGAAGTCTAAGATTTTTTTCCTATTTAATTGAGGGATGCGTTTACAGATGACACATGCAGATTGTATTTGCAGCGTGTCGACATTACCCACTTATCTGCTGATCTCAGTGCTGCACACATTCACATCTGGGATCTGTCTGATGTTTTTAAGAGCGTGCTCAAGACGAACAAACAGAAGCTGAGAACTGTTTGTTAATGCACATCTGTGATTTGCTTGTAATAAACGTCTTCAATGATAAGCGCGCCTTTCTGTTTGCTAATTTGCACCAGAAAATTCACGTCTGCTAGTAGAGAATATGAAACATGTTGTTTTTAATTTTCCTTTTAATGGAAGAAACTTAAAGGCTATAGATGGTAATTGTCTCTTGGCACTCTTGTTTATTTTTTTTCTTAAACCGGATGGGGGGAACAAATTATTGAATTTATCATCTTAACAAACCTTTTTTTTTTTTGTCAGAATGAGTTTTTGACAGTGTTCATTTTGTGTTTAAATGCTGTGCATTTACGCTTGTTGTTATGATTGAAGAAAATTCACGTTGAACTTAAAAGATTACTTTTTAAATTCTGTGCCGATATCTAGCATCTCTGTAAATCTGGAGCCATCTAATAAAACTGAGTGTGATTTGTTGCTTTATTCCACCGTACTATGCTGCATGAACACGTAGGTTAGATTAACTTCAACACTTGATGCATGCCCGTTTTACGTGTACAGATGTCACTGTGTCACACTGCTGTGGCTTGTTCTATTATTTATCTCAGTCAGTTCAAGGTCATCTCATTTCTCACAAGTATTTGCAACAGGCATCTGACTGAAACCATCACTTCATTCCTCACACTCCATCCTTCTCTTCCACCAGACCTCTCTCTGCTCTCAAGGTCATATCAAATTGGATCCTTCCTACCCCAGAGTACACTCGCACTGCAAGCACAGCTGAAAGGGTGTGTGTTCACGTATGCATTCATAGACAAATAAAACCAGTATCCGTGACTGTACATGAGCCTGCAACTTTGTCAATTCATGTATGAGCGTGAACTGAATTTATTTGCTCACTTTTGTGTGGATAAGTGTGGGCGTGTTATCCTGTGTGAGGTAAAGTGACTCTGTGTGTGTGTGTGTGTGTGTGTGTGTGTGTGTGTGTGTGTGTGTG